GTTTCATGTGGCCTGCGCTATCTTCGAGCAACGGCAGGTTTCGGGGGGGCTTTGCTTCAATGTTTGTATCCACCTCTCTACCAATTTATCTCAATATTGCAATGGTTTCGGTACATATAGAACCATTCATATACATGTCTACATGGTCCAAAGTGTGCCTCCGTGTCAGGCATTGAGTCCTCTCACTTTGCAGGATGCACCTGGTGAGAAGCTCTTGTCGGAAGCGTCCCGATGCATTCGAGTGTCTGGACGCAGAATCTCTTCGCTTTGTGTCAGCCCAAAATTTTGTCGACCTGGTTTTGCTGCTGACAAGGAATGGGCCAAACTATGTCCCCAAGCAACACACAGCGCAGGCCCTCAGAATCAACAAAATGCTTTACATCACAAGTGACTTTGCAGACCTGGTGCTCGCAAAAGCTATCCGGCACAAGGGCAAGATCCATACCATCTTCAATGACATTGCGACTGAATGGGTGTCTTAAGGCAGCCCTTGTGCGTGGCTTGGTTGCCGCCGCCAGGACACCCGCCAAGCCGTCTTCGAACAGGTGATGGCTCTGAAACCTGCGCAACAGCTTCGGGCTAGGCTACTTGATGCGGCCACTGAGAACGACGAATGGGTCGTTTGCAGTCATGGCGCCACTTACCAAGTTCTCTTCCCTGCCATTGGACAGGTGCCCATGAAGCAGAAGGCTGGTGAGTTTCATGCTCTCCATACCTTCTTGGGCCGTTCTGGAGCCGTCCCACTCTTCAGCCTGCAAAGGACAGAAGGAGTGGACAACTTCAAGGCGGCTATTCAGGAAGTCCTCCCACGATCGGCGCGGGCCACAGTGAAGTACCTCTTTTCCGACAATCCTGGTTCAGTGGAGGGTGCTCACGACGTTTTGCCTCAGTTGCAAGCGGTGGCCGATGCTACGCGTCGAGGCCTGCACAGGCGAGAAGCGGACTTCTCTTTCTTCTTCGTTGCTCCAAGTGATGTTGTGCTTCCGCTTGCCCTGCCCCGGGCCTTTCTTCCATGGCGCAGCCGCCGACAACCTCCGTGAGGAAGGCACGTGGTCTGACCAGAAGGCACTAGGTGTTACGGACATCGATTGGCCACAGCGACTTGCGATGCCCTGTAAGTCACACCAGGAGTTCATTGATGACATCCAAGCCCTGTGCGCGCAACATCCCGGCCAGATGGGTCGCAAGGACAAGAAGGGCAGAACAATCCGACAAATATTGATGGCAGGAGTCTTACTCTCACTTTCGGTACTTGTGGAATGGCTCCCATATCATTGCGGCTCTCCATGATGTTATGCCACCGCACCAGGTGCAGCTCCTCAGCTTCAGAACCTGCAGCAATGAGGCTTTGCACTTCCAGCTGAAAGTTTGCCAAGAGCAAATCACCCAACAGCGCATCCAAGCATTCCCACCGCAGCTGGCAGCCTTCAGCCTGGCAAAGATGCTAGCGCATCATTCCGCGGCTTACAGCCCTACACTGGCACAAAGAAAAGAGGCTGAAATTTTGAGTTTGATGCAGGGCACATTGGCCACTGGCTTCCTTCCACCTTTAGAGGTTGGACTCATTCAACCGATCCTTTCTCGACAAGACCTCCGGAAACCTGTGCACAGCTTGGATGCACAGAAAGTGGCCGCTCGGAAGGCCAGGAAGGCCCAACAAGCCAAGCAATGGACCCAGGAAGTGCAGAACAGGAAGCTCGAACGCCAGCGACGTGATGGTCCTAAGAGATCCTTGAAGCGCGCTGTTTTCACTCAGAAGAAGAGCCTCACCTGCGATTGGAAGCGCTGCGAGGTAGGGTTTACCTGGACATGTGACACTCAGGCATTTCAACCGACACATGTAAACAGAAAATGACGAGCCCCGCATGCGACAATGACAAGCCTTAAATTCGGACATTACTTACCATAACCTATGTGAACCTGCTCTGCGGTAGCGTCAATGACCTTACCATGTGCTGTCCACCCACCCGCCCAGCCCATTCTATACTAGGCCCAAAAACATCAGTGCGCCAAAAACATCAGCCGCCCTGAGGCGAACGCATCGAGGAGCGGCGAAGTCCGCCTCTTCCCGCGACCCCCCGGCGTCAGGCAAGTCACCGTCACCGCATGTCGATTGACAGCCAGCATCTGGACCAGATAGCTGTACATGGGTATGCTGCTAGGTTTAAAACCTTTTTCTGCTTCCCTGCGCTCTTATTAACCGTCTGTATTATCATGCTGACACATCCCATGCCTCACGCATAGTCATTACACACGCGCGTCCGTACTCAGGCCCAGACACACCATGTGCGTAGACGCTTCCTATCCACTCGCGCGCCCAACGTAGCTTCACGTATATACAGAGATTTCCACAATGTGTTCAAGCAACTACTTTCACGAACCTTTGAGTTCCTGCAAGTGTAGGCAAGCAACATGGAGATGACACGTCCCCGGCCAGGTCCATGTTCCGGCCGCCATCCTCCTCTGAGTGGAAAAGTTTGTGCTGCAGCAATACTCCGCTGGAGGCGCTGTGCACACTGAAGCTTCTATCCTTCTTATAACATACAAGCCCAAATATCTCCCCCACAAGCGTAAAGATTCCCGCACTTAGATTTCGGATTCGCCAACGACGAACCTATACACCGCCACGATGTTATGATACTTTACTTCTACGCAATGGACATGACGCTTGATACTTGCACTGACCAGCTCCACCTGAATCGCCGGTGCTTCCGCGTCTTCTTCGGCTGCGCGGAACGTTCTTTTTGGCCACGCTATCCTTTTGACATTGGAAACTGGTCCTTATATTCAATCCAACTGTCTGGTACCCCGTTTTGTCCTTGTAGTTGATTGCGATGCCCATTCCACGTATATTTTCACCGACGGAAGTCCATTCCACAAACATGCTTCAAGCTGTGGAACCCAAAATATTTTTACCAGAAACATGAAGAGACCACGGCCCCACCAAGACCATGTATTTTTCCTCGCACGACCACTGGAACGGCAGGTTCCACCGACGAACATGCCTCCAATTCAGCCTACAGGCCGGAGGGCCCTGTGATGTCACCGTTAAAGAAGTTTTGACACCTGGGTCACCTGACCATGGGATGTCCATATCTCGGACCCACTTTCTTTCTTTAGGAAAGGCTCGTTCTTTCTTTAGGTAAAAGTATCTCGCGCATAATTCATATTCTAACTACTCTAACCTGGCCGAGTGGCAGCCAACCGCATCAGTCACATTTTTGGGCAACTTACATTTATTTCAACGCTTACTAACCAATCTTAATCATATATTTGCTGATCAGTGATGCAGTGGTGCGTGATGATCAACCAACACGGTCGTGATCGGTCCATAGAAGCATGGCCCCTTGCAATTCTTGAAGGATGCTGGGTTGTCTTGTAGAATTTAATTTAAACCCACGGTAGATTTACGCGGTGGCGCCACCATACGTCCAGATCTCCCCATGGCAACCAACAGCCGGCCAAGCATTTGTTTCGCCAGACAACAGTAAATGGTGACTCTATAGCCATTAAACTACTTCATTGTTCCTTGACTACCAAGAAACTCATTGGCTGAGAAAAAAAGCTACTAACTATTTGCTCCAGCATTCATGTTTGACACTGTTTTGCTTTCTCGATAGATTATTCATTAATACAACTCAAATTGACCAAGCCCACATCTACATGAAACGTTAAGAGTCGACAATGCAGTGCGCCGTCCATACTAAATAATACTTGGATCGTTGGTCAATCATTGGTACATGGATGCCACACGGCATTTTTTCAAGGTTGATGACGATTCGACGCCGATACACTTTGAACAATGTAAAGATTAATGGCTATCAATATTGCTACGACAATGACAGAAACTCCTTGTTGAAATACCTTGTCAGCCACGTGAACTCAAAATATCAAAATCTCCAGTATGTCAAACTAGTAAGCTTCATATTGTGAACAACTCGCCTGTCCCGGGCGATTTAGACTTGTTTCATACTTATTGCGTGGGTTATAGGTAAAAGAACCAACCAACAAGTTCCTTTCGGACTGAATGAAATAGTACAAGCACCCTGGTTCTCAATGTTGGTCATTACATGATTCAACACTCAGGAGACGAAATTCACGACAGTTTCATAAGTTCGTCTCCATCAAAACCACAAGACCCATGAAGAAGACGGTCAACATCCCATCTCAAGACATAACCACAGCGGCCCTCAGGTCCAGCTACTGCTGAGCCTCTTGCGTAGCGCTGGGATATGAAATCAGAGACCGAGAAAAACAGTTTGCGGTCGATCTCTACTGTCGGCACACATGCACACAGAAGTATTTATATATATATATAGATAGATAACTATATGAAGCAGATGAAGCAGATTTTATGTATACATATATACGAACTTACATTTTATATTTAAATGTTAATATAAATTCAATACATATACATTGGTAATGTGATATATATATATATATTTCCCTTCTGGCATCGATGCCAGAATCAATATATTGTCCATTGGTGATTGCATCTGAACATGGTATTGTAACTTATCGCTGACAGTCACATAAATGCCTGCTGTCTTCACGGAGACATCGGCAAACAATTACCTTCGGTCATGGAGCCACAGGTACATCTCAATCCATGTTTGGAAATGAACAGGTTACAGCCGCAAAATGGACGCCAAGCGTCGATGGCACGGGGGGGTCCCCCGCCCCCTGGATCAAATCCACCCTGCGCCGGTTCACGCCGTCATGGACTTCTACCAGGGTTACTTGTGATTGCCTGCTACCTTTCGTTCACCCCCTCCTCTCTCAAGTATATATATATACACACATACAGTTACAGCGTAGCAGCGGCGTAGCAAGTTCTTCTTTGCCGTGATTGGCAGTTGTTTTGGAACTTCCCGGAACTTCCCACGGCGAGGCCGATGAAGCCTTGATGGTGTCGAAAGTTTGTATTTTGGGAAAGCTCCGTCAGGCTGACGCCATCCGGTAGCTAATGTTGCACGTTCGCTTTGATGGTCACTCAGGTGGTGGTTTTGCAGAGCTTTGCGCGTTGCCAGCACTACAACCCAGCTGTGACATCTTGGCGCAGCGACCAGAGATTGATGGCAACTGCTCCACGCAGCTTGGCAAATTGGTAGAGCTACTGAAGCTCAGGACCTTCAAATCAAGAAAACCGGTTCACAGTTCATTTCTCACTTCCTCAAAACGGATAGGAAGCGCAATGTTCAGTCACAAATGAGCAAAGGGTAAAAGCAAAGAAACGATTCTTTCACCAGCGAAAGATCGGCCTTCGATCGGTGACACCATCTTACCATTTTACTTCGATGTGGAATGTGCTCGATCTTGTTGTTGTTGTGGTGGGCAGTAAGTTATATACATGCTATTCTCGATTATTCTCGTAAATTCTAGATGAGAAACCATACACAGACACATGTGTATAATATATATATATAATGTGTGGTTCGTGAACCGACGGGGCGACCTGGCGAGTGTCACAAACGGAACTTAATAACAATAACATACAATAACACTGGTTAAAATATGTTAAAAGTGTTTAGGCAGAATAGTCGTGCCCAGAGCCGCACAAACCCATGGGCTTTACAAGACTGTACATTGCGTGGTGCCGTCACAGGTGTTAGCAACAGCCGCTGCCATGTTAGGAATAATACCACTGTATAAACATAAACGGCTAGTTGTCCTTTGGCAAGGATTGCGTCAACCTTCGGGTGGTAGCTGCACGCATCATACTTGTCAGATTCCATTTGAAAACTGTACATTGACAGGCGCCTCACTCTTCTCGGTGTGCCAAGGAAAAAAAGACAACTCGGACTCGGATTATATATAACCTGGAACCTGAAAATAGACCCTTGGAACACTATAGAACTCTCCACAAACCAGTGCTTTTCAGGCTCCATGTTAATTTTGCACCGTGATGTGCTCTGGAAAGAACAAGAAGGCACAAGGCAACCACAAAATGCCGGAGGTGGAGAATTTGTGAAATGGAATGGCATCCACTGAGGCATGGCTTGCATTTTTACGGTTGCAAAATGGGTGTTCCAGAAAGTTTCTGGGCAAAGAAGGCGAAACCAATAAATTGGCCATGCCATGTCCAAAAGTGTTGGGGGAATGCAGAAAAGAGATTAGAAGAGAATAAAGACAAAAACGTAGAGCAGAAGAGAACAAAGTGCAAGAGGAAAGTGAATTACTTTATCATTTTATCATGTCTTATCCGTTGTTGGTTCAATCCTCATTCGAATGTGTGTAATCGGCATTTGCTCATTGACTATATAAATAAAACAAAAGCAAGTGCTCACAACGGAGCCTGCCCACAAAGAAAATCACACCCTACTTGTTGCAAGTAGCCCGCTTTCAACTGGCAATCTTTTGCAATGACGTTGGCTGACAAGTGGCGTGCTCACATACCAGGTTCCACTTCCCCGTCCAGTTCGCTGCGACATGTCACGCCGAAGCTTTTACTCGTATTGATTTCAGATCAGCGGCTGGCATCGGGGAAAACTATTCCCAACGGTTGCTTCCTGCAGCAGCAAAAAGGATCGTCTAGACTTCTTCAACCGGTTTCCCGGCCATGTTCAAACTACCCTCCGCCTTGCGTTTTCCGTGCCCGGAACCTGTCCTTCGCCAAACCATCTAGTGTATGGTTCAGCGCAAACTGCTTGCGGCCCTGTTCACCTGCCCAAGACCTTACCTTCGCCATGCCGGCCATGTGTCTCCCAGCTCACTGCCTAACATTGCTGCCTGCATCACCACAGTCCATAGCTTCTTTGGCTGGCTTCCCTTGCTGGGGTCGGAGGAGTAAGGCTTTTTGGATTGCAAACCAGTGTAGCATGAGGAGGAGGTGTTTGCCAATCGATATCTTCTTTGTTTTCATGACGCCCACCTTTACCTCGCCGATTTGTTGGTGCGTGGCGGTGTTATTAAGAGAAGAAGAATATAGAAGAATAGATATTACTGTATATGGCATTTTACCGACATGGCATTGAGATATTGGAATGACTCGACGCATTGTTCAACACTGGGGCTTTGCATCTGAGGTATTTGGCCGGCGCAGCTTTGGCCCGATTGCTTCCGGGCGACGAAATTAAACCTCACTTTGATAGCCATTGCAGGCGAAGCGGGGACATGTTGAATGGCCGACTCAAATTGAATACACGTCAATGAGTAGACTGGTGGACAAGGCAACGGGGCAAGTTCTGTAGGGTTCTTCATTATTCCCCATACATATCTCCCCATCGTCATTGTTTCATGTTATTTCAATTGATGCCCGCGGCATCCCGCGACTTTCTCAAGCGACTTGAGCCCTTTGGGATTGTTTCTTGTGGATTTCACCTTTTAACTTGGCAGATCTTTGCAGGCTGTCGGCGCATTTGGGTTTGCGAGCTGTAGAAGGTGCCTCCATGATGGTGGGTGGAAAGATCTCCTCGTGGCAAGAGGGTCGAACGTTGGTCTTTGACGACACCTATGTGCACAGCGTGCGGCATCACGGCGTTGCGCCAAGGTGCCAACAATTGTCGAAACGCGACGAGTGAACATGCTTTGGCTAGATTGAAACGGGAAAACACTCATTTGTTTCTTTGTGCCAAAAAGTCTTACAGTCTTAACTGGAAGACTGATAGATCACCGCAACTTTAGCTGCCTGCAGTGCCCTGAGTCAACATTCGCTTGATGTGCAGGTACGTTTTGGTATCTTGGTTCTGCCACCCATGTGATTTAACTTGGCGCAAGAAGTTGCCCAGTGAATGGCTAGAAATGAACCCACTTCCAAAATGGTGTGGAGAAGGTGGTGGACACCCACCTGTCGAGGGCTATGGCGAGAGGTTGTGAGCTGCCTTGAAAAGTGATAAAGAGTAGCGAATAGTCTGATGCACACAGTGACTGTGACAGGCATTTTTGCTTAAAACGATGTACGACAGAAAATACTCTACAGACTTACATCCCGGTCCAAGCTTAGATTGGACCTGTTCCTGCTTCTCTTCTTTCTGTTTCATTTTATCGCGCCCAAAAAGGTACCTGCTGGACCTGGAGTTGGAGTCACCAGAAGGCACAAAGATTGCCGGGCCGGACGCCCCAGGAAGTTGGGTACAATGAACGTGCAGTTATCGTTGCAAGTTGCTAGTAAGATGCTGCGACTCCAAGTGATGAACGTGACTTGGTATTGTACAGGTGATTAGGTATTGTTGGCAACAATATTTCAGCGGTGACCAGCTGTGATGCCAGCCACTGCATTCATGCGTTTATAAATCAACACTATTTGCAAGCCTGAGGTTTTTGGTTCTGGATGGCCACTCCGGTAGCCTTTGCCTGGACTCTGGTTATCTACTTCGTTTCCAAATTTTTGCCAACAATGCGCATTGTGAGCATTGTGCTGATCGTTGAGTCAGGCTGTGACCATTTGATGGAGCGCTTGCCAGGAAACCTGCAGATCCGCGGCTGAAAGTATGCAAAGTGTCTTTTCTTGCTTCAAAGGTGGTGTTCTGCTTGTACCTTAGCACTTCCTTGCCACAGCCTTGCTCAGGAAATGCCTCAGCACAAAGCCTGGGTTATCAGAAGAGACTCTTTCGCAGGTCGTACTGACACTTTTTCGAAAATGCAGAAGTTCGCAATTTATCAAAAGGATTACCTTTGTGCCTCATCATGTTCCATGAATTTAGACATCGGCCGAACAATAACATTTTTGGAAGACTCTATATTTGGCTGAACCAGAAGCAAACACTGTGAATCACGACAAGATTGGCGGTGTTGTTGTGGAGTTTTGTAAGTAAGGCAGAGTAAAAGAAACTTAACTATATTTAATTTGATTCACAGCTTGCAGCTCGATCAGGGACCTAGCCGTATGCACCGTGAGCAGACCACATAGCATCCGACATAAAAGCTCTTTAATATTGCAACAAAATGAACATACTGCCCGAGTACCCAACAAACAAAGACGGACTCTGGCAGAAGTTTGTACGCCTTTGAAGCTACTTCTAGTATTTAGTATTCATTCTTGCAAAACACTAGCATATTGTGGAGACAAAGGCTTGGCTGCAAAGGCTTAATCACGGACGCTTGAGACATAGCATTATCAATCACAAGATGTTGCAGGTTCCTGTTTTGACAGTGTTCGTTTCAATTCTACATACCGTACATACCTGATTCAATGCAAGATGCTTCGTGCCTGGCTGCAGCCATTCCTGTTCACAAGCTGCACGCGACCCGATAGCTTACTAAAGAAACCGATTTGTGCGGGGCTTGGAACTTCGCGGAGCTGTGCAGACTCCAGAGAGTGAGTGATGGCTGGGGACCAACCGAAAAGTTGATACGTTGGTTAGTATGGCATAGCGGCAGCATTCAATACAATGGCACCAAAACACTCCAAAGGATTGAAAAGCCTAAGTCGCACTGCACTGCCTCTAGGCTGATTGTAGCTTCGTCCCTAAGGACTGCAGAAGACATGGCCGCCGAACCAACTATGGTGGCCAAGTGCACTGCAGAGTTTGTGGGGACATTTCTGCTGATCTTCACGGTTGGTTGCAATGTCCTAGGTGGGAGCCCGATGTGGGCAGGTGTCTCCATTGCATTTGTCCTGATGGTATGCATTTATGCGCTGGGTGGCATCTCTGGGGGTAACTTCAACCCTGCGGTCTCCGTGACTCTTGGACTTTCGAAAACCATCGGAGGACCTGGCTTGGACTGGAAGACTGTGGGCATGTACTCTGGTGTCCAATGTGCTGCCGGAGTTTTGGCTGGTGTGTCTTACTCACTGCTCTTCGGCAAGACTTTCAACTTGGCACCAGCGAAGGGCTTCTCTTGGTATCATGCTGGCCTGTGCGAGTTGCTTTATACGTTCATGCTGACCTTCGTGGTGATGAATGTTGCTGCTGCCAAGAAGAATGCAACTGAGAAGAATCAATACTACGGTATGGCCATTGCATTTAGTGTTGTTGCAGGCGCTTATGGAGCTGGTGCCGTGTCAGGGGGCTGCTTCAACCCAGCGGTGGCGCTGGGTATCGATCTTTCCAGTGCTGGTCTAGGCTTTGGTTGGAGCATCGTGTACATTGGCTTTGAGTTGCTCGGTGCTGCTATGGCTGCCACACTTTTCAAGGTTGTGCGTCCTGAAGACTTCGGCGGAGAGAAGTCACAGATCACAGAGCTTGTGAGTGAGTTCCTGGGCACCTACATGTTGGTGCTCACTGTGGGACTGAACATTTTGGGCAAGTCCAAAGCTGCTGCGTTCTCGATTGCTGCAAGCCTTATGTCAATGATTTATGCCCTTGGTGATGTCAGCGGTGCCCACTTCAATCCTGCTGTGACGGTGGCCATCTTGGCATCTGGCCGTTGCCCTGAGCTCACTCCAGCCAAGGCTGGCACATACGCAGGTGTGCAGATTGCCGGTGGCATTGCTGCGGCGTTGACAAGTGCATTTGTTTACAAAGGAGGCAAACTTGGTCTTGGCCCGACTGGGACGAACACGTGGGCTGGAGTTTCAGTTGCAGAAGCTATCTTTACGTTTGTGCTGTCCTATGTGGTGCTATGTGTGGCTGTGTCAAAGCACACAAAAACCTCCAACATGTTCGGATTTGCCATTGGATCCTGTGTCACGGTTGGAGGGTTCGCCATTGGAAGCATCTCTGGTGGCTCATTGAATCCGGCAGTATCGCCTCCTGGCTGCAGTTGGACACGTATGATACAAACTGCACAGGCCTGTCATGAGTTGAACTACATGCTCAGATTTGCCGGGGTCTCGTAAACAAGAGCAAACCAAAACTATCCAAATGATAGTGCATGTGTGTGTGTGTGTGTCAAGTCCTGTTTGTAAGGACCCCTGGTTGGTAATCAGGCTTTTTAGTCAAGTGCCTGCCGCATTTTCCAAGCGTTGGAGTGTGCGCCGAAATCGGCTCCATGTGTGTGTCAAGTCCTGTCCCTAAGGACGTCTGACACCACCAGACTGTAAGTAGATCCCTAACTTTCACTGTACAGTGATGCAGGGGGACTCAGCATTTCACTGGGACTGTGTTCAATGAAGCTACCAGTGAAATGGGATATCCAACTTGGCCAGCCGGACGTACCTGCATTTCTTTTTTTTGAGTACCTAGCCTAGAACTCTAAGTAAAGCTCAAGCTGTCTCATGCGTTGTTTCGCTGTAGCTCAGTCAAGGTCTAAACTGCAGTGATTGCCTAGAACCCTAAGAAAAGCTCAAGCTGTCTCATGCGTTGCTTCACTGTAATTCAGTCAAGGTCTAAACTGCAGTAGCTCGGGATTTTCACAGCTGACTTAGCTTTTGCGAGCATGGGTCTAAGAGTCACAGTCACAGGGAACCTTTTTGGTTTTCTAAATGGCGGGCGGCCATGGGGGTCCCAGAGGAGCGATGGTCAACGAAGACCTCCTCTGGGACCCGTGTAAACTTGTAATCGTACCCGCCCAACTGGTTACCTGTTGTTCTTGCTGTGGCTTGCTTTCATGGTGGCTCATGTGGTTCTGTTCCTTTACGCAACTTGCGTTTCGTGCTTTTAGTCTTAATGGCCTCCAGACTTGTAGCGAGGGCCTCCAACCTTGTTGTGATGGCCTCCACCCTACTAGTGCTGGCCTCCAACCTTGAGAGCCTTGCTGCTGTGAGTTCTGTTTTGCTCGAAGCCAAGCTACTGGTGATGGCCTCCAACCTGTTACGATGACCTCCCACCTAGATGCGCTGGCCTCCAACCTAAAAGCGATGGCCTAAACGTTGACCTTTCCGAATCATCAGAACCCCTTATATACACGTCTAATCATGCTTACTAAGGATTCTTTTTCACCTAGGCAGCCGTGTGGCATGAGGCATTCAGTTCAGCACGCAATATCTCGAGTGTGTGTGTGTGTCACCCTCTGTTCCAAAGAGTTCTTGTTCTGTTCACCCAAGTCGCAGGGGGATGCCCCACACCTGAAGAGAGGGCATCTAACAAAGAGGCTCTTCAGGATGTGCTGATATCAGCAAGGACGCTTGCTGACGTACCTGCACCTGAAACTGTTGTTCACGCTTTTCCACTTTCGATTTGATTCATGGTGGTTTCGCACGATACCTCCCCCACAAACAGGTTTCCCTCCGCCGCTTTCCACTGCTCGTGAGCTGCCGCTGAACCACCGCAGTCTTCCGCAGATGAGAAACTCCTTTGTTCAAACACCTACAAGTGCTTGGACGCTTCACCTTTCCGTTGAGCCATTCTTTTCGTCGGGGAATTGATGTAACTGCAAAACCATTGTCTAAGTGTGTGCCGCTCTGTCGTCCCACTGGGTGCAGAGTGTGATCCCCGTCACTGGTCACGCCGGAGTACACTTTGTTGCTTCCTGCACGCGTTGGATTATCTTTTCTGATTTTCTTCTCAACCACTGAATTTCCTGGCTCAATACCGCCGGGTATACGGTAATTCGAAGCAGGCGGGCTTACGGAGAAAAAAACCCGACGAGTTCTCTCCCCCAAACACCCCAACCCCCCCTCTAATTAGGGTAACAGGAGGAAATGGTACGGTGCCTTTCCCTCTGCTGTCCCTTTTCTAGTCACTCTACCCGGGCGGTTTAAGACTAAAGTCCCGCTCCCTAACTATTGCACCTAATTCACTTCTGCTAAGTAATCAGTAATTGTAGAGTGCTAGGTATTCATACACGCACACGGACACACACATGTACACACACCTCCCTGCCCCCCCTTTCTTTCTTGCGCTTTTTGTCGTTTCTTGGGCTTTCTTTCAGGCTTTTTTGGTTGTTCTTGAGGCTCGTTTCCCTATCCCAGTCAAGGGCTAAGTATTCACTTTTGCTACACCTATCTTTCTCTCTTGCCTTTTTACCGCTGCTCTTTCTGGTTTTCTTTCTCTTGTTTCTCAGGCTTTTTAGGTGCCTATTTAGGTCTTCCGCGAGGGCGCCGCAAAGCGGCGGGGTGTGTGTGTGTGTGTCACCCTCGGTTCCAAAGAGTTTTTGTTCTGTTCATGCCCCACACCTGAAGAGAGGGCATCTAACAAAGAGGCTCTTCAGGATGCGCTGGTATCAGCAAGGACGCTTGCTGACGCCTGAAACTGTTGTTCACGCTTTTCCACTTTCGATTTGATTCATGGTGGTTTCGCACGATACCTCCCCGACAAACAGGTTTCCCTCCGCCGCTTTCCAGCTCGTGAGCTGCTGCTGAACCACCGCAGTCTTCGGCAGATGAGAGAAACTCCTTTGTTCAAACACCTACAAGTGCTTGGAAGCTTCACCTTTCCGTTAAGCCATTCTTTTCCTCGAGGATTGATGTAGCTGCAAACCCATTGTCTAAGTGTGTCGCACTCCGTCCCGAAGAGTTCTTTTCTGATGGTTACACTTGTTCGATGCAGTGGGTGGAGACACCGGTATTGCTTCTCCACCAACGAAGCTGGCAATACCCGGTGAGGATATCAGTTCCGGACGCGGAACTGACGTACCTGCGATCGTGACACTACCCCACTCTTCCTGCTGTTCTTTGATTTCATGGTCCTTGCGCGATAGACCCCTAAACCAGACGTGTCGCTGCGCCACCGCAGCCTGCCGCGAGTTTGTTGACAGCTGATTTCAACTCTTGTTCAACTTTTCAAGTGAGCTGACTCCATCGCCGTTCTGTTCCCTCTTTCTTTTTCGCGTGGGATTGAGTTGACTGAAAACCCTTTGTCTAAGTGCGTGCCGCTCTGCCGTCCCACTTGGGTGCAGGGTGTCATCTCCCGCAAGGGAGCGCTGAAACCACCGTGAATCACATTTGGATCTAGTGTTTCTGCGTGCGTTGGATTCTCACTAATTGATTGAGTGTTTCACCCCATGAATCTACTGCCTTAATACTGCCGAGTTGACGGAGCTTTGATGCCGCCGGGCGTACGGTATCTAAGAAAGTCACCTGTTCGTTTGTGCTGCGAAAATGCATTGCCAGCTGGTACCAATGCCACATAGTGGACATCCGTGCTGTGACTACCTACCAGCAAGTCAGAAGGGCAACCCCAGCACATGGATCCACGATGATCTTTTGCACCATTGCATTCTGTCAGACAACTGCATCAGCCTACACAACGCCTCAAACTAAAACCCTACAAAGAGAACAGCAAGGAAATGCATGGGTACTTTTTCCAGGCAAGGCCCACACCTGGTGGTGCTCCATGACTTGCTTACACCACCCTAAAAACTCAGCCACTTCGACCTTGAATGCTGGAAGACATCCGCTCCACGATTGAGCGTTCAAACACATTGAAACGGTTTGCGGTTTGCGGAGCATTGTGCTCAAGCGCTTTGCTGGGCATTACGTTTTTAAAGCATGTGATGTTGCCATTGCATCCATGCTTTCCTCTTGGGGCACTGCGCAGCTCTAGGATTGGCCTTGCAGCGCCATCAATTTTTACAAGCACAATGTTGCTGAAGGCCTCCTGTTGCAAGCCTCGCCCCTTGTGAGTGCAGGTGAAGGTGAAGTAGTGAGAAATCAAGCCAAGACAAGAGAGTGCAAGCATGTTTGGCAAGGTATGGTTCTGATCTTGGATTCAAAGAAACATGAAAACACACTCCTTGCTATATAATATGAAACCAGAACAAGTCAGCAAGGAAGCAGCCCAAGTTTCAGAAAATCGATGACATGTGGCAGGCGTTGGCGTACTCCACGTTTGAGATTATTGGTGGTGCTGCTGCTGCAGGTGTCTTCAAGGTCACTCATGAGGCAGAGACGGCTCACAGTTGTTGTCAAACATGTCAAAATATAAGGCTGATGCATTGCAGTTGTTGAGGGGAAGCAAAAGAGCTTTGGCACTTGAGTTGTTCAGAGTGTGTTGCAGGTTGACTTGGCCCTGCCGGAGGCAAAGACGGATGTATAGATAACAAAGGCTTCCACAAATGCGTCATACTTGTGGCTGCAGTCGTTGCTATGCTCCCTTTGAATGTGAAAGTCTCAGGGCTCGTCAAGCGTGACTACATATCCCACAAGCATGCAATCTCCCTTTGCGATTCCATGCCCTCGCAGCCTTTGCAAAGCTCAGGTTGTTGAGGATGAGCGGGCAAGAACAAGAAGAACGACTGCAGACATATACACAGACATATAAGTATGGGGATAAAAGGAAGGGCTGGGCCCGCTGAGATTTCGCTGCGTCGATGCCGATCAAAGAATCACCTAGACCTAGACTAGAGGCGCCCAGTGTAACTGTTTTGAAGCGAGGATCCATGCACTCACTGGTCATGTGAATGAGTCTTTGCAGTTCGTGTACATGTTTCCTGTCTCGGAACCATGCCCCCGGTTGCCCTGACAGCGGTTTTAAGCTTGGATGGCTTAGAGGCTTAGAGGAAGTGACATCATTGCATCATCAATGATCTTGCCTTGGCATGCATGGGAAGTGGGTGCGGGTGGTGGGGCGACGCTGTTCCGAGATCATTGTCCCCAGACAGTGTACTTGGTGTCACCATACATGTGTCCAAAGTTGGTTTGATTTCCGGCTGGCATCCCACTGAGTCAGGTGCCAACCCGGCTGGTGATCACGCTGCAAAGAACCAAACCCATTCAAATCAAAACTTCAAAAACAGTATGAATGTGTATATATATATATATATCAATTTACTGTGAGAGGTTCTCTCAGAAAAGATAACTGCGTCCGCGGTGGCGACCCCTGCGTCCTGGTTGTTGTCCAACCCAGCAGGAGGGCTACTGCTTGATGCCTGCCCGCACATGCTCAACACACCTACTACCCAAGAGCTTTGTTTGCTGGTACACTCGGTGCACTCGTGCAACAAGTCATATTTTCAGTTGAAGCCTGTATGGTCTTGCAGCCTTGCATATATATATATATATATGGTACCCCCCCTCAAAATCAGTGGTTGCTTCTGGTTACATGCGTGTATATGCACATCAGTATGCACATCACCTCATGTGCACATGCTTTGTATATATGAGCGCAGTACCCCATGACATATACATGCTCGCATCCACATGATCTAAGATCATCATTCCTATATAAACTATGTGGAGTGAAAGTGGAGTGGAAGTTTACTCAGTATTCCTGAGGGGGGGAGGGGGGGGCCCTCAGAACTCTTTGGAAGGGTGGGGTAGGGGAGGGGGGGGTGAAAGAGTGACTAAGGCGTACCCTGTAGAAGGATAGACAGTATGTGTTTCCTAGTAGCTTCTTGTTACTACTAGTAAGGCACTTGTTACTAGTAGCGATGCACTTGTTCCTAGTAGCTTCTTGTAGTGCTCATATATCATATTGTTCATTGTCGTGTACACAATTAATTCTGCAAATTGTTATGTTCTTTTTTTGTGGTGGTGTCTTCACACTTGTACACCATCAGATTCACACTTTGAATTACTCAAATCCAATGTAAAATCGTCGATAATGTTGACATTCACACAATCAATTATATCATATCCATCAATTCTTATATTTGCAATTGCATTGCAATCATCAGATACAACTAACAATATGAATTGGAATGTATCTTTGTTCTCTAATTTCCTTACCTTGGGAAACATTTGCCCATTTCTGTGTGCATTGGTCCGCCGTACTGCTTAGATTCTTGCATTCAAATCACATGACTAAAAACCATGCTAGAAAACCAAAAAGGTAGACATTTCAGGGGGGTAGCATATATATATATATATGTCACATATATATGTATTATATATACATTCGAATCTGGCATACATGTAATGTAGACCAAGATGCGTACAGGTGTATGCGCTGGATGGTCTGACAGAAGATGGCCGGCTTCCGAACCTGCCTAATACCGTCGCACGTGTGAAGAAGTCTCTCAGGAAATCACATGAACTTGCTTGTGCTGGGTAGCCATATTGTACCAATCTTGACCGCCCGAGCATTGAAGTTGCCGTGTCTTGCACATTGAGCTGCGCACTCAGTCCGGCACGGAGGAAGAGCGTACAATGGACAAAGAGATCAAGAAATCTTGAATTGTAGTGTGGGAAAAACCTGCCCTCAGAATTGGCTTCAGTTGGCCTCTCCAAGAGAGTTTGCAAGAATTCGGAACATGTTCCAAAGCCACAAGACTAGTGTATAATTTAGAATCTAGAATCTGGAAGCTTGCAGAAACTGTTTGAAGGGCCCAAGACGATTATATAGATGAAAGTCTCATGCAAGTCCTTTTGAAGCTTACCTTTTGTTTGCCTCATCATGCCGCTTGCCTCGCATGCCGCTGAGACTGCACGAGATGATTCAGTTTGGTTGGTTCTTTTCGATTGTGTGGATGCGTCGGGGCCAAAAGCTGCTGAGCGCAGGGCTGGTAGATCAATCTTTCAGCGTGACTCCAAGATCATCACTGCGTTCTCGGTTGCTTTCTTTGCATTGCTAGGTTGTGCAGCTTGGCTTTAGATGAGCTTGATGTTTGCAAATAGGATCAAATAGGAGAATTGCAGGATAATCAATAGAGGGCTGCAGAGGGACACATACGGAATAGCCCAGCCATTCAGATTGCTGAGATGGAGACTTTTAGTGCGGACACATGCCGATGAGCCCATGAAGAGCGTGTGAAGTGCCTTCAATAATTGCAATGATTAGGATTGCATATGAGGGTTGCATTCATACGCGGGCATGCTCCAAACCCTGGCAAACGGTACGGGACTCACATAAAACGATACCCTCCAACAAGGTTCCAAAACATTGGAAAACAACAGATCCGATAGGGGACTCACAGATCTGAGGATGCAACAGCCGCACATGATAAATTCTTGACCGTACCTCATGTGGATGTCGATTGCTTCCAGGCAATTCGAGTTTCCATTGCGCTATGGCTTGGTCATCTTGACTTTGGCGTCACCACATCAAAGCCAGGACGATGGACTTCAGTGAGGACATGATAAATGAACAACATACGGGGTTCTTCAAAAAAACAGCCATGTATTTTGGAACCCTTCTTACCTTCTCCACGCCCCCGGACCCCCAACTTCAAAGTTGTGTGACCTCTCGATGCTGAGGCCTTCAAAAATAAAACAGCCATTTTGGTTTGACTTGCGGAGAAGTGCATGCCAACATTGAAGTTGGGGGTTCAAGGGGGTTTGCTTGCCCCACGTGGACATGCGATGGAATGGCTGTTTTTTTGAAGAACTCGGTATGGATGAGCTTACTCTAAAGCAGCGGTCAGGAGATTTAACCTGCTTGGACTGTACTCAGCTGAAGCCAATTAAGAAGCTCACTTTTTACTGGGCTGATTGATGTCCAGGACCTTTCCTCGTGAAAGACTCTCACAAATGTCTTCGTCTTAAGCTCCAAACAGAGGACCAGACAATTTGGGCAATCATACAAATCATTCGAGCAGCACAATTCCTTAGTTTCTCGAATTGCCGAAATGCTCTTGGGCTTGAACCTTGTCCTCAGCTAAGGTTACGAGCAAAGTCATGCTGCTGGGTATTTCTTTCAGAATGTGCTGGGTTGCATTCTGATGGCTGCGGTTGCTAGGCCGGGTTCTTTCCTTCACACTGTTCTATTTTTATGTTTACACCTGACATCCGTACATTCTTGATGCCTTCGTTCTCCCAGGCACAAGAAAGCCATGAATCAGTAGCTTGATTGCTGCAGCACTGAACGATCCATGAATGGTCTGAATGCATCAACACATTCAACGCTGGCCTGACGGGCTCTTCAGTAAGGCACTTGGCCACTGGCTTATCTTCTGGACTGTGTGGCGCATTGACAACTTGGGCCACATGGATGGGTGAGGTGCTGCATCCATGGATGGGGTTTGAGATCCCTTGCGTGCCGAAACCTGGAAGAAACTTGAGGTGGCCTCCACGATCACCAATGGCTATATCTTCCAAGCCTTTGTCAGCGTGTCTCTTGGCGGAATAGAGAAGGTTGAGTGGACTGTATGACAGTATGAAGTCATCTCCGCCGAAACTTGCAGGTAGATGATGGTAGAGCGTTGATCAGAAGTGGCTCAAAATGTATGGAACATTTGGTGGAACCTGGCTTTAAGACATACGCAGAAGCCATCAGCTAGAGGGGGGAGTCCTTAACCAGTCAAGCCATGTCGAAAAGAAACGACTTGCAACGTCTTCCGCAGTGATGAGGTTTAAGCTATCAAACCTCGCCGGAGCCCCCTCAAAGGAATCAAATCTGCAAGCACAGATCGGTTGTGCAGGGAGCTCTCAAGATCTATTCGTGACTTTTGACACCCAAATTTTGGCCCTGTGTGACATGAGTTTACCTAAATCTTTGAGGTAGTTTGAGGTTCTGTTTGCACTTTCACTAGGATTACTAGCTTCACATATCGCGTTACGTTGTACATCTTTGGGCGTGTTTCCGCGTGCATACTTGGTTTTCGATATTTGCTTGCGCAACCCTAATGATGACGAGGCTGTGCATGCTATGCGTTTCGCTGGCATCCTACCGCTCCTTGACCTGCAGTCATTGCTTTTTCTTGTTGTTGTTGTTGTTGTTGTTGTGCCAGGGAATCGAGAAGCTAGCCAAATTCGAGGGGAGCAATTTCGGAGCTAACCAAGAGAATACCTAGGATCACGGATCGACATTTGCACAGTCCCCAGATCCCAAGCTCACCCTCAGTGCACTCGCTTTGCATGGCCCAAGGCTTTGGTCACTTTTTGGCAGGTTGCGGAATGGAGGAGTATATAGTTGAAGCTTTGTCATTCATGTACCATGCCACGTCGCAGGAACAGCTTGCACCGTCCAATCATTGATCTTGGATAATGAGGGATGGTAGTGAATAAAGCAAAGGAACCTATAGCGTTGCAATACCGAGAAGATCCGAGAAGCACAGAGACAGAATAGTTAGCAAAACTGCAGATAAGACTTACAGGAGGAGCCAAAGTGCTTCGATGAGTATTGTGGGCTTCGGCTATTATTTGCCAAAGAGGACCAACGATACGAAGGCAGATGTTTGGACCAATAGTCCATGAATTTGCTCGATTTTGATGCTCAGTGCTTAGGCAAGAGCCAGGATGGTGCAGCCATGCAGCATGTTTGTGTAACTATCACAAGTTTGGCTTTTCACATTTTAATATCCAACGCGCAGTGACCCCCTCATGTATACTGGTTGTTCGGGCGTGCACAGTGCACGTCACACATCCCCAGAAGCCTTGGCCCAAAGTTGGGGAAATCTAATTACACTCATGGCAGTAAGGGTTTACACATGCCTTTGACTCCCGTGGAACAACCTTTTATTCCCCAACCAGTTTACTGTTGGAGTTCTGAAAAAAAAGAGCTGGCCACACTGACTGGCCGCGCCCCTGAACTCTATGGCCGGGCTCTGTGCCGGGGTCTTGTCCTCCTCTAGTCCTGCTGTTGTCCTTCTTTTGTCCTGCTGTTGTCCTCTGGCCGCGCTGACCAGCCCTGGCCACCCTGACTGGCCGCGCCCCTGAACTCTGTGGCCGGGCTCTGTGGCTGGGTCTTGTGCTCCTCTTGTCCTTCTCTTAAGCTGCTGTTGTCCTCTGGCCGTGCTGACCAGCCCTGCCACACTGACTGGCCGCACCCCTGAACTCTGTGACCGAGTGTTTAGAGTGCTGAGTGGCGCCCAATCGGATGCCCGCGAAAGAAGCGAGTTCGCGTAGGGGCCCGTCTCGTACTGTTGATAGATGTGGCGCCCGACAACGTGCCCGTGAGACGCGTTGGACATTGTCAGTTTTTCATGAATAATATGGTCAACAGCTGGAGAGGAGTATGGCCGAACAAATAGAGATGTGGATGCAGACAAAAATCATTGATGAATCAGTTTGCTCTTGGGGGGGAAGGTAGGGCGTACCAAGAAATCGTTTTTGACTAACATGGTCCAAACAAATCGTTTTGAGATTGTTTGGGGTGCATGCCGGTATAAAATCCTTTTATGGTCAACAAGGAAAGACGGAAACCTCTGTTTGCATAATTGTCATGGTCAAACTGTTGTGAGCCCTAGCAATAAACTCAGATGAGATGTGAACACCAAAGGACATGTGCATGTTGAGCACTAACCTTGCTTAAAGCAACCACAACGATGCATGCCAACTCCCTCAGAGTGGCTACGACGGAAACCTGACAAAATTACCCTTCCGCCTGCAAACCACTTGGCAACGCAAATTTGTTTTCCGAACCTCGCCAGCAACACTGGACACCGAGTGTTTGTTGCTTAGACATGTGCAATTGGATCATGCACATCCTATGTTTTGGCATGTTTGCCTTCCTATGTCTTGGCAGCATGCCAAAACGATGGCCTAACACAATGAGCACAGGAGAGGACGATTGAAATGGTCCAAGAGGGAGATACAATGAGCGACTCAGATGCTGAAAATGGGACCGAGACCGAGTGTCTCAGTCGCACAAAGTGTAATGTTGGGATTGTATCGGAATCCTCCGGAAATTTTGTGCACCATGGAGTTCTTGCTTGACAATCCACTTCAGTTTGAGCATGAGTTTGATTGAGTTTGCGAGGTCTGAATGGGGCATACATATAGATGAACCACAAAGCTGGAAAGAGCCAAGTACGAGAGAGGCAGAGTGTTTCAAAAAAATAAGCAGCTTTGTTGCAGTCAGGGGTATCCATGAAAAGAGCAGGTGTTTCTCAGCGATGCGGTTCACATCGCCATCACTGGCCTTGCCTTTATTTACATTGCAACGATTCTTGCCTGCACTTGCATTACTCATTGGGGACGTGTGGATCAGCAAATTATCGTGTTGCTGTGGCGATTTGATTTACCATGCCTTGCATCCTGCAGCTGCAAGCATGACAGCAACTACCCAAGGTTTCTAGGAATAGCTGGAGGCAAGAATTCTGTCTTGGAAGAGACAGGAAACTCTTTGCTACATGGGTGAGGGATGCTGAGGGTTTTTTCTTCCCTTCCTCAGCTTAGTTGCGCTTCAATCAATCATTTCATTCCCGTGGCTTTTTGGTTCCATTTTGGCAAT